CGCGGCGCAGCCCGCCATCTCCACGCCCGTCGCCGCCCCCCCGTCCGAAGTCACCTCCCTCACCCCCCTCGCCTCCCTCACCCCCCTCGCCTCCCCCCTCGCCACCCTCACCTCCCCCATCGCCACCCTCGCTGCCACCGAACAGCCCGGCCCTTCCTCTGCCGCCGAACCGACCGCCCCCTAACCAACCCCTACTGCCCAGCCATCCGCCTCCACCCAACCATCCACCACCGTCTCAAGTCGTCCCCTTCGATGACGATCCGTATTCTTCTCAAGGAGATGATAATTCGGGAGGTTTAAACCACGACGCAGCCCCGCCGCCTACATTCCCTGATGGTCCTGATGCTCCTGTTGCTCCTATGGATGAGGGCGACGCGTAATACCATCCCGCCTTGCTTTGCAACGTGATTCGCTGCTGCTGCTGCTGCTGCCATATCATGTAGCGACGCTTCGTAACTGGGCCCAAGTCCCTTGTTTTAACCCGGCTCGCGTTACTTAGGGTTTACCCAAAATCTTTTGTTTGTTGGTCATCAGTTGCCGTGTGGTGATGGGGTAGGGAGAAGCGCCAAGGGGGTTTGTTTTCTTAAACGGAGCAGCACTGAGTTGTTGCGCGTGCTACCGACGCTTGCGGGGTGCCACATCATTTTGGTGTTACGTCGATTTTACCGTCTGTCGTACGCACATGCTTTGTCGATGCTACAGTCATATGATGTGATAGGGGGGCGAAGGCGGCCTCAGGCGGATATCCCAAGGGGGAACGGGCAGCAATGCAGGCATGTTGGATTCAAAGATTTGGGGATAGATGCGCCTGCGGACAAGGCAGCGCGGCACATAGTGCAGTGCGAGGGTTGTACGAGGCGCTTTAGGACATTGCAGTGTGATGACAATTATCGGTCAAATGTTGTTGTTAAAATGTTGCAGTATGTGTTGCGGGTACTGCTGCGCTAGGATGATTCGTATAAGCCGCTGGATGGCGTTGATCAGTTGGTGTGACGGATATAAGTTTTTGATCTTTATACGTATATGGTCTGCACGGACTAATGTCGCCAGAAAGGGAAATTGTCCCTTTCAGCCGGTATGCAAGGATACGCTGCTGTGGGATGGTGCGATGGGGAGATGCGATAGCTGGGACAGAACAGAATGGCTGGAGGATGCAATCGTTGGAGGTGCCGATTGTGCCCAAACGGCGGTGAACCCGCGGGAAAGTAAAAACTTCGCCGATATGATTTGTCAAACTCTATTGATTTCATGTAGAGAGAGAGCGCGATGTTTGCTGGACCGCACCAGTAGCCAGCACTTCCAGTTAGCAGCAAGTTATGTATTCGAACACTTAACGATCTTCTAGTCCCAAACAAGCACATACTCATTTGCTGTGAAGCCTGTGTGACTTCTGACGCACGGTGCCGTTGTCCACAATGCTTGACCCTGTTAAATCTGATGACCTGCTCATCACGTCAAAAGGCTCTCCCTGAGGCAATTGCTGATGCGGCTGTTGTTTGCTGTGTATTTATTTATTGCCGGATCTTATTCATGTATAGACGCGCGACTTTAACATGGCTGTTCGTTATACAAGTCGTTTCTCCGTCTGTAACTGCCACCGAGCAACCTTTATCCCTCGTACATAAAAAACCGCCGATCTCCTCCTTGACACGGTGCCATGTCCGTCCACGCGTCTTTGCCACATCCCCATCGCGTCTCTTTACTGCGTCCAGCTGTTACGGTATGACAACAAAACAGCAGCGGACTGGAAAAATAAGACGTGATGAATTGTTCCCTAGAAAAAGGGGAAGGGCACAGAACGGATAAAAAAGGGGACAGTGGCGGCTCCCTCTGTGCAGTGAAAAAACCCGAAGGCCGTACACTCCTAAAGACGTAACAGTGCGAAAACGAACGTCAAAGTCCTTCCCCCCCTTCGCGGCTCCCCCTCTCCCCCTCCCCCCCTCCCGGCGGTCAGTCCAGGTCGTTGGGGTTGCGGTGGCGCAAATGAATCGCATCCATCTCGGCCAGCGTGCTCTCGTCCAGGACCACCTGTACAGAGCGATCGATGAACAGCAGTGATGGTCACAAGGTGTTGAGGGGTGGGGGTTTGGGTGGTTTTGTGGGGGGGGGGGCGGCCCGCGTGAGTTTTGTTTTTGGGTTGAGGCGGCGGAAGATTCGGGAAGCGGGGACATTTTTCTCGCAGGCTGACGACGGCGGAGGGAACAGGAGGACTGAAAACAGAAAATGTCTAATAATCAAAAAAAGTTTTTGAAAGTTGAATGTTCATATATTATATTATATTATGTTGTCTGGTTTGGTCTGGTCGAAACCACTGTCGACCAGACCAGACCAGATGACATAACATGATATAATATATTATGGCTATAGCTGCTGAGATGTGGAGTTGAGGTCACAGTTGATGGATCGAGATTCGCACGCTGGATTGGTGGCGATTGCTGAACCCTCTGTCTCTGCTACGGGTGTTCGGGTGAATGGATGAGGAGTGATCCTAGAAGGCAGTATCAACCGCCTTGGACTTCCAGTTCGTATGGCAGTGTAGTACAGTGTAGTGATGGTGGATGGTGCTGTATGGTATGATAAATCGTAGGAGTGACAATGTGTTCAAATGGCCCAGAAGCCTCCCACCCTGTAACAATTCAATTCAATATCGTACATGAAGTGGTTTTTCCTTACCAGTTTGACAGCGCTTGAGGGTTCATGCCCTCACATGAAGGAAGGTGGCTTTATGTCTCTTCGCAAAAGAACAGGCTTCGAGACAAAACACAACTCA